ATTTTGAATACAGAAATATGATTTAAATAACTGAAATGATATGCTAAAAATGAAACCAAATCCGCCAGCAGGTGGCGGCAAGTCACTGATTTTATCACTGAATCATTCATTCAATTGATTCGTTCGAACAGCTGATTCATTCAGGAATGAATCAAGTGACTGTCTTTATGAACTGACGGAAATCCGTCGTAGCGACGGAACTTTAATCCCTGTATCCAGCAATATTTGCCAATATTCCATCTTTATAAGCTTTACAGAAAACAAAGAAGTGTGACTTTTTGTGCAAAGCAGTTCACATGCTTAATACCACAGTTTTGAATCTTAATGTCTTTATTTTAAGTCATGTTTTTTGCATGCAGCTGATCATGCATGGCCAGGATGAGCAGTTGGAACTGGTCACAGGCAGCATCCGTGTGCTGAAGGACATGTCCAGCAGGATAGGAGACGAGCTGGATGAACAGGCAGTGTAAGCAAAAAAAACACATGATATTAAAGAATTAACAATTTTGTATTATTTTGTAAACACCAGGGGCCCGTTCTTTGTACGTCGCTAACTCAGTTAGCTGCATTTGATTGTTGATGATTTGGGATCAGGCTTATTTCATGTAAACAGGATTAGATGGCATCTTTTTAAGTAGAATTGATACCTAAAATCTGTCCCAGCCACTGCTACTTTATTACAAGAGTACCCTACTGCATTTCATTTATCTATTATAACATTTATGTAGTTTTGTTCGCTTATAAAAGTCCAGAAATTTGTCAAGTTTGTCGTCAGGTGTCTCTTTTAATTATATGATGACATTACGTTGCTGTCTTGCCACCAGCCAATCGCTGCATTGCTGATCGTGGTTTTGAGTATCGATACATCTGCCCTTTTTGGGGAACACGAGAACGCGCAGTAATCTTAGACAACTTAATCCAGATATTTTAATCAAATCCGCAAATTCGTTTGAAGAACCAAATTAGCCAGAGATCAGAAGATCAGAGATTAGAAGATCTGGCATCATTCAAATCATCTCAGATGTGTTAAGCGAGGTACGAAGAACGGACCCCAGGATTTGTTTTATACTCAATGTTAATATATGTGCTTTTTGTCCCAGTATACTCAGTGAGTTTAATGAGGAAATGGACCAGACCAGTTCCAGAATGGACTCAGTACTGAAGAAAATGGAGAAGGTTTCACACATGACCAGCAGTGAGTGCTTTTACTCCTTATTGTATGTTCCTCTACTAGTTTTCTCATGTTTTTGAATAATAATTATCATCAAATTTGTGTGTGTGTATTTATATATGCATATAAAAAAAACAGTACACATACATATATATGTAAATACAAACTTATTTTGGATGCCATTAATTGCAAATTAATCGATTTTACAGACCTATGCTCAAGAAGCATTTCTCATTATTATCAATGTTGAAAACATTTATGCTGTTTAATATTTTGGTGGAGAACGTTTATTTGAAATATATTGTTTTTTTAATGATGTAAAAGTATCTACTATCACTGTTGATCACTATTGTCTTTGCTGAATAAAAGTATGATTTAAAAAAAAAAAAATTTGTACTGTCAAACGATTAATCGCATCCAAAATAATTTTTTTTTGTTTTCATAATATATGTATGTGTACTGTGTATATTTATTATGTATATAAATACACACGCATACAGTATATATGTAGAAAATATTTACATGTGTATATACAGTTATATATTTATATTCTTATATTTTATATTATATATAAATATATTTAATATATATATACAAAATATACACAGTATACACACATATATTATGTAAACAAAAACTTTTATTTTGGATGTGATTTAATCGTTTGACGGCACTAATAAAAATCTAAAAAAAACTTTTACTTGTAGTTTATCATTTTATAAAACTGATACATTTATTTCTCAAACCCACCCAAACAGATACATATTTATTGTTTTTGCAAGCTTTTTTTCTTGATCTTACCTAGCGTAATTCTGCAAGATTTAAGAGCATAAGAGTTTGTGATATTTTGACTTCACGTTTATGTTTTTGTGTGTTGCAGGTCGGAGACAGTGGTGCGCTATTGGAGTTCTTGTAATCATACTGATCGTGGTGCTCATTCTGTTACTCGCTCTTTAAACCAGACTCTTCTTCAGTTTGGCCCTCCATCATGCCAAAAGCTTACAGAGGAAGTCAGAATTTCACTGTGATTCTTCCACTTCAGCTTCCGTCATCTTTGTGAGAAAGAGTTCAGTTATTTTTTTATAGTCTTTTTGCCTTCATCTAACCCATATGTCTCCTGAATCTCAGCTCTCGCTCTCACTACTTTTGGATTAAGGTCTATTCCAGAATTTGACTGGTGCTGAGATGGAAGTTAACAGTTATTGCATTTCTTATGTTTTATTGTGGTACAAGTGTGGAATGAGGAATTTGATATTGCCTTATTATATTTTTATATGTTTAATTATTAAACCGTACAGTAATTGTGTACATTATAAATGCCCCTGAAAGAGGTTGACCAAGCACAATGAGTAAAGCAGGCTCATAGCGCCCCCCAGATCTCTAACTGGCAGTACCACCATCAAACAACCTCTGATGATGTGTAAAGTAAATCTAAAGTAAATTATGGCAAGAAATTTAGGATTATTTAAATTATGTTTTTAAAGCAAAGTCACACCTTGAGGGTAACATAGGCATTGTACACCATTTGCTCTTCCTTTATGGATAAATCTAACATTTTATTGCATCATTTGGGTAAGCTTATGGATGATTGCTTACAGAAAAAATCATCTGCACTTTTTATGAATCTTCATGGATGTGCTGTGCGTACAGTAAGCACTTGGGTTTCCTATATTTTAACATGATTTTATGCATTGCTTTTGAGATTACTGTATATTGAACTGTAAAGTTCAGTAGAGACACATCTGACATATAGACAGTTGATGGTGTGGGTTATGCCTTCACTGCATGCCACAGTGATATTTCATACTCATTACTCCAATACATATATAATACATGTCATTTTAATATTTTTAAAGGAAATTGCTCTTTTTAATTGCAGTCCAAAATCAGCAAGATGCATGTTCTGAAAGTCAGCTAATAACTGAGCTGATTAGACCCCACAGTTAGGATCGTTACTTGATATTTCTATTCCTGAACTTGAGCTCAGATCTAATATTGTGCTCATCTGTGGGTGTGCTAATGAACATTTTGTACTCAAATCCTCCGTGCCAATGAGTTGCTTCCAGTGTGCCCTCTGATCTGGGTGTAACACTACGTGCCTGAGGGTGAATGTATTATGCTCAATATAAATGTGTCCCTCTTTCAAGCTTCAGCTGAATATGACATTTCAGTATTGCTTTGTCTATTTTAATTTTGTAATATGATATAAATAAACCCGTAAATAGCTGAAAGTCAGATTCAACGCCAAGCATAAGATTTTTGAAAAATGCAAGCCTTAAAAAATGCCAATACTCACTGTTGCTCAAAATGTGGAACAAAGTACTAAAACGTAATACCTCTTATATGCCCATTTAGGGAAATTTGGTACGTATTTGATTTTCTTTTACTTGCAAAGTAATGTCTTTCAGTGCTGCCTACATAAATGATTGTTTCAAAAATCGAATGCCCTTGTCACTTGTTTTTGTAAGCATTTGTATTATATAAAACTTTTGCCTTTATTTTGGCATCTTGATAAATCGAAGTGGTTCCTGATTAAAGTATATGCCTTTGACATGTGGTTTCAGTTTTCATTTATTACGTTATTTTCAAATTATATGCAACATATGGAATAACTTCATGGCAGCTCTCGGATAAAAATACGTCTGTGACATCATAATTTTTTCACAGTAGAGATAAATATCATGAAATATAAAATACAACCCGTAAAGCTGTGTTAAAATGACTGAATCACGCATTAATGGAATAGTTTAAAATCAAAATTTGCTGTAAAGGTACCCACTCTCAGCCCAGCCAAGATGTAGATGAGTTTTTCTTCTTTGAAACAGATTTGGAGAAATGTAGCATTACATCACTTGCTCACCAGTGCATCCTCTGCAGTGAATGGGTGCCGTCAGAATGAGAATCCAAACAGCTGATAAAAACATCCACTCGACTCCAGTCCATCAAGTAATGTCGTGTCAAGTGAAAAGCTGTGGATTATTTTCATGTTTTTATCAGTTGCTCAGTCTGACGGCACCCATTCACTGCAGAGGATCCATTGGTGAGCAAGTAATGTAATGTTATTTCTCCAAATCTGGAAATCTTTGATGTCCGGAGTGTTTTTCAGCCAATTTTAATTTTGGAGTGTATTAATTCTTTTAAAACAAAAGCGAACCACAATGATTTTCTTTGTTACAAAGCTTTTTATTAAGATGTATTTTCATCATTTCTCCATGTTTATTTATTTTTTTACAGTAGTTAATGTGCAATTTTCTTTCTCGTTGGGTCACAGTAAAGGAATTCACAAAGTTATTGGCACTTGGAACACAGAGGAAACACTGGCATGTACTCGGGGTGGGGGGTACAGAGGGGTTTTGACATCAGTAGACGCTACTGCATTTGTTTCTGGGGAATAACATCTCATGCTGTGAGTGCACAACTAACAATCAAACTTCATTAGTGTTTCTATGTATAATGCACAGTATATATATATAGATTTGTATTTATATATGTATATTCATATATCTATACTGGAAAAAAAAAATAGCTGCAGGATCCCTGCGGCCACACCAGAGACATTCTCTCAGGAGCCATGCTGATGGAGCTCCCCGGCCCCTGGTGAGGTATGAATCTACAACATTCCATATTCAAAGTTGCCTCCATTTACATCTATTTCCCATAACACCATGTTCAAACAAATCTGAAGGGCAGCACCTCGAGGAGTCTCCTGCATCACATGACCTGTATCAGGGCACAGGGGCCAGGGAGGCATGGCTGAAGGTATCAGGAGGTAGATCCACACACCTGCTTGTGTGTGCGCACATGCATTGGTCTCTGGTGGGCAGGGATGTACAAAGAGCAATATATATTTTGAAATCTGTAAGAAGTCTTTGAGGTTGCCGGCAGCGCAGAAGCGCACAGAAAGGTGAAGTACATGGAGCGGCGGGCCGCAGCAGAGAGAGAGAGAGAGAGGAGTGTGTTTATACTGGAGGAGAGAATGCTGGACAGATGAAATAAGATTAACAGGCTGATAGACATCTTATTAAAAGTATAAAATGTACAAGATATCAGTTTAGGAGAGGTATGTCTTCATCCGAGGCTTTTTGATTGCATCTGTCATTGTTTTTCCTGTGTTTGTGCCTCTTCTGTCTCCCTAGAACTGTGAGGTGGGGTGAGCTTGGATATTTCTAGCATAAGTTGTTCACACAGAACGCGTTCTTGCACATAAAAATTTAGTGCTGAGAAATGAAACAGAACAGAGCATTGAAATGTGCTTTTTAAGGTAAAACGCTCAAACTAGTAGAACTATCTGCATCTAATTTAAATTCCAATACATATATTGAAGGCCAGTTTCTTTAATATGTCAACAAAAATCTAACAAATTTTGAACCTGGAAATTAGTGCATATTTAATTACACAATGCCTCTTATGATAATAATATTCCACAAAACAATGAACTGGTGAAGAATGGTGCAATTTATGATTTAAATGTATACCTTATTCACTAGTGGTGTCTTGCCTTAAAAGCTGAACTTGCCTTAATAGTCAAACGACTTTTTGTTAATGCGGCTTGGATGCACAAGATGCTGAAAAAGCAAGATGCTTCACAGTGCTCAAAGACATCTGCCTAGTGCATGTTTACATAGGACAAATTTCAAAAGCAGCACAATTAAATGAAAAGAAAAAAACAGCTCTGTGTGAACCAGCCCTAAGACTCAGAATTAAAGATATCTAACATAAAAAAAATTATAATAAAAATAGATACAATAGTCCCCGGTGCTCAATCGAAAGAGTGAGGGAGCTCAAGGTGCTAAGACAGGGGTCTTCAACTTATTTTCAGGCCAAGCACCCCTGATAGCTATTAGATAGAAATCCTGATAGCTATTCACAAATCCCTATTTTGGTTGTTTGTTAATAAAGTGTCATATTAAGTATCAAATGTTTTGATCGTCACATTGGTAAACACCAGCAGAGACAATTTACTCTAGTTCTGAATAAACGCAATAACATTTCCTTATATTTGGCAGTTTAAACACAATTTAAACAGTTGGCAAGGGATTATTAAATTAAAGATCATGTCAAATTACAAGAGTTTTCTAAATCTTTGCTGTCCCTTAATGGTCAAGAGAAGTAACTGCATTGGCAGTTTCCTTTTCTACCTGCAGCATTTATCAAGTCCGGCACCAGGTGGCACTCATCCATGTGCCATTCAACATCAAAAGTCATCTGCACCAGTAAACTAATTCAGTAACAAAAATGATATTTCTTTAAGACAGAAATAAGTAATAATATAGCTTGCAGTGCAAATAGACCACAACTCCCTACATCTATGCTGCTTCAACCTCATCCACCCTTTAAAAATGTCATTTTAATACAGTACATACGCTCTTAAGGCCCTCATATGCACTTCAGTCATATGCAAAGCAAAAATGTATAGCACTTCTCTTGCTCCTAGCTACTGTAAATGTCATGATGTTCCTTTACAAAGCACTTGGCAACTCTACAGTCTATGTTAAAAATTAGTAGCATCTCAATGGCCAAGCACTATTCTAGATTTGAACAAAAAATCATAGGTAATAAGAACAAAGGTATAGTTTGTCATGCATTTTATTCCTCTTTTCTTTTTTTAAGTTTTCATTTTATGTCTCAAAGCGTCCGAAGCATAACCTCATTTGTTCTGTTTGACGTTAGGGCTGGGCGATATGGGCAAAAATTCATATCTCTGTATTTTTTTGGCCGATCTCTGTATTTTCGTTTTTGTATTTTTAAAAAAAATCTGTATATTATATATATATATATATATATATATATATATATTTATTACGGTCTAATTAAGTAATGAGTCAAAGAGACTAGCTGATATTAATTCCTGTTATTTTGATATACTAGGATTAATAGGTAAAATATTATGTCTTATTTATGGCAAGAGATTTATATTCAACCATTGTTTTTTTTTTCAGCTATAAATAAACAGCAGAGAACAGAAACAAAGCAGAAGGCTCATGGACTCCTGACAGCAAAATGGAAATATTTCCATGACTTTATAACATTTACAGACGGAGAATATACCTGTGAAATGTAAGTTATGCATTCAGGAAGACAGCACATCTCAAACACATTAAACAGCGCGAGTAGACTATGTCTCTGTCAGCGGCACATGCAGCCTTTCTGTCAGAGCATCTGGCGGGCCGAGCCGCTTAAACTATGCGAAACTATAAACTATACCATGTCTTACCAGTTTTTAAAGGCCTTAATATGAAGCTTGTCACATGTTTAGAACAAATTGGATTATGCACTTTCTCCGCAGCAGCTCGGTCTGTGTCCTCCGCTATATTTTCAGATGCGCTCGTATCAAACTACTGTATATCGATATAAACGGTATTGCCTCATATCGAATCGCTTATAAAGAAAATATCGATATATCGTACAAACTCGATATACCGCCCAGCCCTATATTGACGTAGATGATTCTTTAGTATAACATACTAATAATACTGGAAGTTTAATTGCTAAATGAAAGGATTTTGCATGAAAGAGGGTTGAGGGTCAGGGGTTGAGATTCTACACGGGGTAAATCCACTAAAGTTCATCGAGTTCAGCGCACATTGTGTCCCCAATCTCGCCAATGCACCACTGAGCAGAACATATTAAGAAGTGATTCATGGGTTCAAAACATCACAAATCTAGCCCTCATGAACATGCATGCTGGCTGCTTCCTAAAAAAAACTCCTGGTCCCTCCCTGGGTGTCCAACATGATCTTATCAAGCTGTACATCAGAGGATCAGCTCCATGTACATTCTAACAGAATGAAGAAATGTTGACCGCTGTTATCTTTCTTTTTCTCTTTCATTGCGTTTCAAAAGGTGCAATGAGGAACAGTCCACCACAAAGCCATATTTATGCAGTCACCATCAATCACATTTATCTGTTTTTTGGACAATAGGATGCTAAACACACACACACACACACACACACACACACACCCCAACACACTAGTATAATTGTGTTCACATGTTGCAGTGTTCACTTTACATTTAACAAGTAACCCAAATATGGCCTTAAAGACAATATAAAATGACATTCGTAATACATTTTAATTACACAATGTTTTAGAATATGTTGAATATAATTACACAATGAATATTAGATATTAATGTTAGAATATAATTACACAATGTTTTGAATATTTAGTGAGAAACAAAAATGTAGGGCATTGAAACTAAATTAAAAGTAGCTGTTCTGAAACAAATTGGATCCAGGCATAAATGTGAATTTGCAGTTAGCTGCGAAGAGGATGAAAATGACATCCCAGGAATCAATATTAGCATTAGCATGAACATGATATAGTGTTTTCAGAGATGGAGCAAGTTATTACATTCTTTGAAATAACAAGCACTGAGAAATATGTTAAGGTCAGAAATGGCGACATATTTCTTCTGCATTGTGGC